GAGAGAGAGAGAGAGAGAGAGAGAGAGAGAGAGAGAGAGAGAGAGAGAGAGAGAGAATGTTATAATGTGGGTTTTTGAGAAAAATTTAAACAGTGTGCATGGTAATTATAAGTGAAATGGAGGGAAGAAGAGGAGCGAGAAAGAGAAAGAGAAAAGAAAAAATACTCGAAAAAGAGAGAATAGAGATGACAGGAAGCAAGAGAAAATTCAGAGAAAACTGAGAGGAAAGAGAAAGCATAAGAAAAAGATTTAAGTAACATAGAAAGTGTATAGTGTGTGTGTAAATATGTGCAAATACTAGCAAACACATGTGATTAAAAAAGGGTCAACACCCCATGAAAAAAGGTCTGACTTATTATAGCTATTGCAAGAACAAGGACAGAGTTCCAGATGGTAGCCTCCTCAGTCATGAAATGACTTTAAAATTGGAATATTTTCTGGTGAGGCTGAAGGCTACTCCTGAAACCTTGATGAATCTCACTTAGAAACTTTTGTACCTTGTGAGTAACTCTGGCTTAGTCACCATATGTGAGGAAGGAAGGACTGCAGCAAACGGAGATGTGCTTCCAGCTTAAGGTTCTCAGTTTGGGTTGGACCAGCTTATTCCAATAAGCTGGCAAGGCATGAGACCTGTGAGAAGATCCCAAGTCAGGATACTGTTCTTCCAGTCAAGTTGGCTTCTAGTGCACTCCAGGCAATGCCTGAAAAGTTCCAGGCATCAGGCCTGAACTCTTTCAGGCTGATGTCCCACGATGACCAGGCGGGTGACACTGGAACCTCCAGCATGGCGAACCCCGGGGAGAAAAACCCGGAAGAGGCCCAGATCCATCCAGGCCATTGAAATAGTTTTCAATGGAAAACCCAAGACTGCCCCAGGCTTTCTTTAGCCCAGGGCAGCTAAGGTGGCTGAAGAATGAAGATGGTGTAAATGCCTAGACACCCCAGGCTCATTACACCTAGGGTCATCCAGGCACGCATCCCTCGTCGTGGTTCCAGGCTGTGCCCAGAGTTCCCCAGGCAGTATGCCTGAGTGTTATCCATAGGGTAGCGAGGCTTCCATCCCCGCCAAGTGCCTTGGCCAATAAGCCTCAGGCCCCTGAGGGAAGACCCGACATGTAGTGATGGCCAGCCCTGTAAGATGGGCCAGTCAGGTGCAGTCGGGCTCCTACCCTACAGGGAGCCTGGGGCAGGTTGCTGGCTGGGGCCCTCCATCACCAGGGACCAAGACCCCCTTTGGCATAACTTGCTATTACCAGGAAAGATTGACAATGTCAGATCAAATTCTGGTTTAAATCTCTCATACATAGCATCTGCCCATTTACTTACACAAACACTCATACATAAACATTCACCACTCTGATTAGGATAAATATGAATATTATTCATACTTATCCTATGTCATTCAAGGTAAAATATATTTACTTCTCACTAATAAATAAAGAAAAAGAAAATACAAAAAAGGAAGAAAAAAAGAAAGAAAAAGAAAAGGAGAAAAGATCTACACACAGTCACATCTTCCATACCTCATATTCAACTTACATCCCTTGCCTTCCCTATGTTCTTTTGGTCGTCAACTCACCTTTTCTGCTTCTAGCTGATTGAAGACATATTCGATGACGACATCATCTTCGATACCTAATATAGTTGTGATCTTCTCTGTGACCCATGGCTTGATGACTTCTAAACGTACTTTAGTCATATCCACCTGTAATGAAACAAAATTTCAGATATGTTTCCACTGGAATAGTGTCTTTTGTCATATTTCACTCTCTCCTCACTCTCGCATACAATTTCTTTTCATATCCCACTCAACCCCATTTGTGTTTGACCACAGACACAGACAGACAGACAGACACACTCTCTCTCTCTCTCACACACACAGACACATTCAGTGTCACTCAATCTATTCTGTCTCTCTCGCTCCCTTTTCTCCTATTCTCCCTCCTTCAGCACCTCCCCTTCTCCATTTCTTTTTCTTACTTGCATTTTCATTTTCATTCTCTCTCTCTCTCTCTCATTTTCATTCTCTCTCTCTCTCTCTCATTTTCATTCTCTCTCTCTCTCTCTCTCTCTCATTTTCATTCTCTCTCTCTCTCTCTCTCATTTTCATTCTCTCTCTCTCTCTCTCTCTCATTTTCATTCTCTCTCTCTCATTTTCATTCTCTCTCTCTCTCTCTCTCATTTTCATTCTCTCTCTCTCTCTCTCTCATTTTCATTCTCTCTCTCTCTCTCTCTCTCATTTTCATTTTCATTCTCTCTCTCTCTCTCTCATTTTCATTTTCATTCTCTCTCTCTCTCTCTCTCTCATTTTCATTTTCATTCTCTCTCTCTCTCTCATTTTCATTTTCATTCTCTCTCTCTCTCTCATTTTCATTTTCATTCTCTCTCTCTCTCTCATTTTCATTTTCATTCTCTCTCTCTCTCTCTCTCATTTTCATTTTCATTCTCTCTCTCTCTCTCATTTTCATTTTCATTCTCTCTCATTTTCATTTTCATTCTCTCTCTCTCTCTCATTTTCATTTTCATTCTCTCTCTCTCTCTCATTTTCATTTTCATTCTCTCTCTCATTTTCATTTTCATTCTCTCTCTCTTTTTTATTTTCACTCACTCACTCTCTCTCTCTCCCTCTCTCATTTTCATTCTCTCTCTCTCTCTCTCTCTCTCATTTTCATTTTCATTCTCTCTCTCATTTTCATTTTCATTCTCTCTCTCATTTTCATTTTCATTCTCTCTCTCTCTCTCTCTCTCTCTCTCTCTCTCTCTCTCTCTCTCTCTCTCTCTCTCTCTCTCTCTCTCTCTCTCTCTCTCTCTCTCTCTCTCTCTCTCTCTCATTTTCATTTTCATTCTCTCTCTCTCTTTTTTATTTTCATTCTCTCTCTCTCTCTCTCATTTTCATTCTCTCTCTCTCTCTCTCATTTTCATTCTCTCTCTCTCTCTCTCATTTTCATTCTCTCTCTCTCTCTCTCTCATTTTCATTCTCTCTCTCTCTCATTTTCATTTTCATTCTCTCTCTCTCTCATTTTCATTTTCATTCTCTCTCTCTCTCATTTTCATTTTCATTCTCTCTCTCTCTCATTTTCATTTTCATTTTCATTCTCTCTCTCTCATTTTCATTTTCATTCTCTCTCTCTCATTTTCATTTTCATTCTCTCTCTCTCTCTCTCATTTTCATTTTCATTCTCTCTCTCTCTCTCTCATTTTCATTTTCATTCTCTCTCTCTCTCTCTCTCTCTCATTTTCATTCTCTCTCTCTCTGTCTCTCTCTCTGATTTTCATTCTCTCTCTCTCTCTCATTTTCATTCTCTCTCTCTCTCTCTCATTTTCATTCTCTCTCTCTCTGATTTTCATTCTCTTTCTCTCTCTCTCTCTCTCTCTGATTTTCATTCTCTCTCTCTCTCTCTCTCTCTCTCTGATTTTCATTCTCTCTCTCTCTCTCTCATTTTCATTCTCTCTCTCTCTCTCTCTCTCATTTTCATTCTCTCTCTCTCTCTCTCTCTCTCTCATTTTCATTCTCTCTCTCTCTCTCTCTATTTTCATTCTCTCTCTCTCTCTCTCTCTCTCTCTCTCTCTCTCTCTCTCATTTTCATTCTCTCTCTCTCTCTCTCTCTCTCTCATTTTCATTCTCTCTCTCTCTCTCTCTCTCTCATTTTCATTCTCTCTCTCTCTCTCTCTCTCATTTTCATTCTCTCTCTCTCTCTCTCCCTCATTTTCATTCTCTCTCTCTCTCTCTCATTTTCATTCTCTCTCTCTCTCTCTCTCATTTTCATTCTCTCTCTCTCTCTCTCTCATTTTCATTCTCTCTCTCTCTCATTTTCATTCTCTCTCTCTCTCTCTCATTTTCATTCTCTCTCTCTCTCTCTCATTTTCATTCTCTCTCTCTCTCTCTCATTTTCATTCTCTCTCTCTCTCTCTCATTTTCATTCTCTCTCTCTCTCTCTCTCTCTCTCTCTCTCTCATTTTCATTCTCTCTCTCTCTCATTTTCATTCTCTCTCTCTCTCATTTTCATTCTCTCTCTCTCTCATTTTCATTCTCTCTCTCTCTCATTTTCATTCTCTCTCTCTCTCATTTTCATTCTCTCTCTCTCTCATTTTCATTCTCTCTCTCTCTCATTTTCATTCTCTCTCTCTCTCATTTTCATTCTCTCTCTCTCTCATTTTCATTCTCTCTCTCTCTCATTTTCATTCTCTCTCTCTCTCATTTTCATTCTCTCTCTCTCTCATTTTCATTCTCTCTCTCTCTCTCTCTCTTATTTTCATTCTCTCTCTCTCTCTCTCTCTCATTTTCATTCTCTCTCTCTCTCTCTCTCATATTTTCATTCTCTCTCTCTCTCTCTCATATTTTCATTCTCTCTCTCTCTCTCTCTCTCTCTCTCTCTCTCTCTCTCTCTCTCTCTCTCTCTCTCTCTCTCTCTCTCTCTCTCTCTCTCTCTCTCTCTCATTTTCATTTTCATTTTCATTTTCATTTTCTCTCTCTCTCTCTCTCTCTCTCTCTCTCTCTCTCTCTCTCTACTCACCTTTTTTGTCAGACTTTCAGAGAACTTCATCTCTTTCATTAACTTTTTGTCTTTGTTACTAAAGCGGTTATCTTGTTCTGCAGATGTACCCTGTGAAGTCAAAAGAAAAAGATTCATTAATGTGCTGCTGCAAAAATCATATTACAGTATTCAAATATAAGAACTACTATTTAATAGATGGCAACTAACATATAAGGAATTACAAACCTACTAATCCATCCATAATAACATCTTAATTCTAATTCTGGTAAAATTGGCAAAATATACAAAGACACCCTCACTGATTTTAGCGATTGCCATGCCCTGCCTGCTTTCAGCATGCCCGCAAAACTTAACAAACTTCTACTATGAAATTTTTATTAAGTTGGCTTAATGTTACCAAGAGTGATTCGCAGATAGAGGGAAATGGACACTGCCATCTTGCAGAGCATGAAAATTAGAGTAGGAAGCAATACAGGTAAATCTACAGCAGCCTCATTTTTACCA